ATTCTTCTCAATTATTTTAAGACCTTGAGTGTTGGTCCAGCCGGGGCACGAACCCTCGACCTCCCGGACAACAGTCCAGTGCACTATCCATTAGGCTAACTGGGCGGCGGTTAAGATTCTCTTCCTGCATTTAAGAAGAGTCTTTTTAATGTAATTTTTAAAGAACAGTGTAGTCTAAATCATTTTACTATTTAACTTAATATTTACTCTTATTTTTAATTGAGGGCCACAAGTTCGTTAGCTTTTAGCTGTTTAGTGCCACCCTGTATAAATAAAGTGTTTACTCACTTACATTACTTACTTACTAGGTGTTTGGTCTTCACACAAATGCTGACATCACATATCAAACCAAGACTACCTCGGATGTTTTGGAGACCATTGTGAACATTCAGCCAAAAGACAGCGCTGGAGGGTCTGGGGAGACACGTGAATCACTCGTAGCGCGTCAAGCTACAGAGATGTTGGACAAGCTGCCTGCGGATTATGTTCCTTTTGAGGTAAGACTCGTATTATGAATTAACTCTCCTACTTCAAAAGGTGATTTACAAACCTGCTTTAAATCTTTATATCAAACTGTGTTTTCTAACGTATTGTACAAGTCAGTGAAACGTGGTAGTCTTAGAAGTAGGGGTTTTCATAAGCAGATATTGCCGATGATGCAATAAGCCGGCTGTGCCCAGAAAAGGGGCTGTATGGCGAAACCCAAATACAAGAGGCTGCTCACAGACTTAACCGACGGCGTTGATAGGTCACATGGGCGTAAATGAAAATCTAACTAGGGAGTCACAGGCATCTAACTTAGCGAATAAAATGTCCGAATCTATTGGTATAATTTTAAGATGTAGTCTCAACACGTCCATAGACCAAAATTAATAATAATAACTTTTATATAGCGCTCATATCCCGAGCTTATGGCGCTTTACAACACTGTGCGGGAGACTTTACCAGACTGCTAAGCAGTTTACAATCAAATAAAGGCGAATCTAACAGATGCCCCCTCCCCACAGGCTAGACCACATCACAGGAATCTCGTGGGTGGGTTTTTTAACGTCCCTTGCCTAATTAATTAATAGATGCAGGAGACTGGACCTACCGTTTATTCGTCCTTATCCGAGAAGACTAGAATGTCTATCCATTTCTTGATGTTATAGAAAGGTAGCACATTCTCCTCAGTTATTTTAAGACCCTGAGTGTTGGTCCGGCTGGGGTTTGAACCCTTGACCTCCCACACAACAGTCCAGCACTTAACCAATTGAGCTAACCGGGAGGCGGTTTTTCATTTCTCAGACTCATTTAGGTTCTGTGATGATTGCCATTAATTCATTTGATCAAACTCAGTCAAAGACAGGCCTGCCTCAGAGCTTCTCCGATAATCAAAGACTACAGACAGTTATTCAAAGAGTGACAAGGAGGTTGGCCTATTCCAGTGTTCCACAAGTTATTGTTCTAAGGTAGATGTTTATATTTCTTCCCTGTAAATTTTTAACAACACCATACAGAGCAGTCTCAGTCTCGAAATTGAGAACAACATTGACATTTCCTAATGACGAGAAAACATATTAATTAAAAAAACACTTCACCAATCTTTGATCACTACTAGCTGCAGTAGAGATAAACTGCATCAAACCAAAATATTGATAT